CCCCTACCACCCTGCATCGCCTTTTCCAATCCATAAATCCCACAAAGCCCTCTTTACCCCTTTATCAAAATACTTTTCACTTTATGTTTCATGTAAACCCCGGTCCACACACCCCTCCTTTCCTAAAGCCCCCTTTGTTCATCTGTTTCCCTTTTCTCGTCTTACTTTTAAATTCTTTCAATAAAAACTTACCATAAAACCCTTTTCCAGGTATACTCCAACTTTTCCCCCTATAATTTTTTCCTCTCTTTTATCCCCTTTGCCTTTTTTAAAAAAGGAAATATGCTGCTCTTGCCAAAACCCAGGTACCTACCCCCTTCCTTTTATATATACTTGCACCAACCACTCCAAAAAACTATATCCCCAACTGCTTTAAAAAACATTTCTGATCTTTATCCCATCAATCCGGCTTTTACCCCCTTTCATTTTACTACTGCCTCACGAACTTCACCCCACACATAGCCTTCTTCACTCCTACAAGGATTATCCCTCCTTGTCCTATACACCGAAATCACAGCTTCCCTATCTTCATCAACATTTAAAATTCCTCAAAAATTCCCCTCCATCTTCCCAATACCTCTAACTCTCCATTTAATAACTCTCCTCTCCTATTTTTAACTGACAAATCCATTTGTTCTCTAGGCTTTCTTAACTTGTTAATCTCACTCCAAAACTTTTTCTTATTTTCAACAAAATTTGTTGATAACATCTCACCCACTTCTCATTTGCTCTCTTTTTACATTGCTTCACCACTCTCTTAACCTCTCTCTTTTTCTCCATATACTCTTCCCTCCTTGCATCACTTCTCTTTGTAAAAACTTCTCATATGCTAACTTTTTCTCCCTTACTACTCTCTTTACATCATCATTCCACCAATTGCTCCTCTTCCCTCCCGCACCCACTTTCCTGTAACCACAAACTTCTGCTGAACACTCTAACACTACATTTTTAAAACCTACCCCATACCTCTTCGACCCCATTGCCTATGCTCTCATTAGCCCATCTATCCTCCAATAGCTGTTTATATCTTACGCTAAGTGCCTCCTCTTTTAGTTTATAAACCTTCACCTCTCTCTTCCCTGATGCTTCTATTCTCCTTGTATCCCATCTACCTTTTAATCTCAGTGTAGCTACAACTAGAAAGTGATCTGATATATCTGTGGCCCCTCTATAAACATGTACATCCTGAAGTCTACTCAACAGTCTTTTATCTACCAATACATAATCCAACAAACTACTGTCATTTCGCCCTACATCATATCTTGTATACTTATTTATCCTCTTTTTCTTAAAATATGTATTACCTATAACTAAACCCCTTTCTATACAAAGTTCAATCAAAGGGCTCCCATTATCATTTACTCCTGGCACCCCAAACTTACCTACCACACCCTCTCTAAAAGTTTCTCCTACATTAGCATTCAGGTCCCCTACCACAATTACTCTCTCACTTGGTTCAAAGGCTCCTATACATTCACTTAACATCTCCCAAAATCTCTCTCTCTCCTCTGCATTCCTCTCTTCTCCAGGTGCATACACGCTTATTATGACCCACTTCTTGCATCCAACCTTTACTTTAATCCACATAATTCTTGAATTTACACATTCATATTCTCTTTTCTCCTTCCATAACTGATCATTTAACATTACTGCTACCCCTTCCTTTGCTCTAACTCTCTCAGATACTCCAGATTTAATCCCATTTATTTCCCCCCACTGAAACTCCCCTACCCCCTTCAGCTTTGTTTCGCTTAGGGCCAGGACATCCAACTTCTTTTCATTCATAACATCAGCAATCATCTGTTTCTTGTCATCCGCACTACATCCACGCACATTTAAGCATCCCAGTTTTATAAAAAGCAATGTTTTACTTCACAGCAGTAGTCTGGAACCTGAGCTGCTGTAAAGTGGGGCCTGTCTGTACTGGATAAATACACCAACCAATCTAAAACTATAGTCCATCTACTTTTAACATCTCAAACTTAATCTCATCTGCCCCAGCTGCTAAATTCCTTCTCATTCTACATGCTGCCTTGTACACTTTCCCCACACTCACTTCACATTCCTCATGCAGTTCATGAATTGTACTGATCACATGTGGGTGAATGTATAATGCATATAAAGTGGACCCCCGGTTTACGACATTATTTCATTCCAGAAGTATGTTCAGGTGCCAGTACTGACCGAATTTGTTCCCATAAGGAATATTGTGAATTAGATTAGTCCATTTTAGACCCCCAAACATACACATACAAACGCACTTACATAAATACACTTACATAATGGGTCGCATTGGGAGCTGATCGTAAACCGGGGGTCCACTGTACTGAAGTACCAATAAAAATATAACATCACATAATAGCATATTCACATTAGCCAAATATGCATATAGTGAGGGGAACCTGTATTTATATTTTCTAGTTTAAGAAAGTTAGATATGGTGGCTCGACACCTATCCACATTAGGCCACAAGTTCTTAACAAACATAATTAAAAAATGGATAATTTATAAGTTTCAGGATATTATTATTATTGGGTCATGACTTATCTGCAGTAACAGATGTGTGATTATCTGTAGTAACAGATGTGTGATTATCTATAGTAAGAGATGTGTGATTATCTGCAGTAAGAGATATGTGATTATCTGCAGTAAGAAATGTGTGATTATCTGCAGTAAGAGATGTGTGATTATCTGCAGTAACAGATGTGATTATCTGCAGTAAGAGATGAGTGATTATCTGCAGTAAGAGATGTGTGATTATCTGCAGTAAGAGATGTGTGATTATCTGCAGTAAGAGATGTGTGATTATCTGCAGTAACAGATGTGATTATCTGCAGTAAGAGATGAGTGATTATCTGCAGTAAGAGATGTGTGATTATCTGCAGTAAGAGATGTGTGATTATCTGCAGTAAGAGATGTGTGATTATCTGCAGTAAGAGATGTGTGATTATCTGCAGTAAGAGATGTGTGATTATCTGCAGTAAGAGATGTGTGATTATCTGCAGTAAGAGATGTGTGATTATCTGCAGTAACAGATGTGATTATCTGCAGTAAGAGATGTGTGATTATCTGCAGTAAGAGATGTGTGATTATCTGCAGTAAGAGATGTGTGATTATCTGCAGTAAGAGATGTGTGATTATCTGCAGTAACAGATGTGATTATCTGCAGTAAGAGAAGAGTGATTATCTGCAGTAACAGATGTGTGATTATCTGCAGTAAGAGATGTGTGATTATCTGCAGTATGAGATGTATGATTATTTGCAGTAAGAGATGTGTGATTATCTGCAGTAAGAGATGTGTGATTATCTACAGTAACAGATGTGATTATCTGCAGTAAGAGATGAGTGATTATCTGCAGTAACAGATGTGTGATTATCTGCAGTAAGAGATGTGTGATTATCTGCAGTATGAGATGTATGATTATCTGCAGTAAGAGATGTGTGATTATCTGCAGTAACAGATGTGTGATGGCACTCTGAGTCAAAAGTCAGGTGAAGGGGGTCATAAACTAGGTTACGAGGAAAATTACACAACAATTAAGGAATAAAGCTATGCCAATGAATGAAAAAAATGCATGAAAAGTGAACAAGAGATTCAAAAGGCTTGAGTAATGAGGTTGTTAAAGAAGTGAATAATAAGGTGTTGGGAAAAAGTGAGGAAGTAAAAGATAGCGAATTAAATACAAGGTGGGAGTTATCACGTATGTTTTTACCAATGAGACTTCTTTTGGGAGATTCCAAAGAAAAGTTGCAAAGATTGGTTGAAGAATTTGGGAGGGTATGTAAAAGAAGGAAAGTGTAAGTATACATAGGACAGAGAAAGTTAAAGTAGAAAAAATCTAGGTATTGAAAGATTGGATATTGCATTGGAGAGATGAAGAATGGATGAAGTGGATGCGTTCAGATAACTGGGAGCAGACCATAGAACATAAAAGGAAAAAAGAAAAGGTGAGTGATATGTTGAGGCATGTGTAGAGATGAACTTTATATAAGGAGGCAGAAGAGGGAGTGTGGTTACCAGAGTACAGTGATGCCAACAATGTTACATGGCACAGATTGAGGAGGCTGGAGGCAGTGGATATGTTGTATCTGAGGGTAATGTGTGATGCAAATGTTATTCAAAGAATTTGGAGTTTGGAGACTAGGAGGTGTGGGGTAACTAAAAGTATTAATCAGAGGGCTGAAGAGGGGCTGTTAAGGTGGTTTATACAGTTAGAGAGGATGAAGAAAAATAGGATGACAAGAAGGGCACATAAATCTGGGGTGGAGAAAAGGGGTAGGAGTTGTCCCAGGTAGGATTAGAGAGAGGGGAGTTACTGAGGTTTTGAGTATGAGGGATTGGACATCCAGAAGGCTTGCACAAGTGTGTTAGATCGGAGTGGAGGCAAGTGGGTTTTATGATTAGATGTACAACTGGGATGTGATGGAGGTAACATTCATGAAGGGGGGTCAGAAAACTGGTTAGCCAGACTTGAGTCCCGGAGGTGGATAGTAAGTGCCCACATTCTGAAGGAGGGGTGGGGATGTTGCAGTTCCCAAAGTCGGTGAGAAACGGTATGTGTGTTAAAAATTAAAATATAATGTATTTATTAATTTATCTAATTTTACTTACCTAAGTATTAAAATTACAAAAGTTAACTACAAATAAACATAATTAAAATTAAATGTAATTTGCTAAAGTCTAAGATAAAGTCAAGATGGAAATATAAACACATATGCAGTATAATGTGATCCTTTATTGACTACGTTTCGCCCACACAGTGGGCTTTTTTCAAGTCACAAACAGAAGTTCTGTTTGTGACTTGAAAAAGCCCACTGTGTGGGCAAAACGTAGTCAATAAAGGATCACATTATACTGCATATGTGTTTATATTTCCATTGTGTCGGTATTTTATACCATTTATTTCCATAAAGTCAAGATAAAAAAAAAGTTATTCAGATGCTGTTTCTCAAGAAAGCAATGTAACCCAGGGATAAAAAGAGAGAGTATAGTGTATTACCTGTCTAGCACTACAGCCACAATATGTTGCGTTGCACTTATGGAGCGTACAGCAAAATGCTTGACACCTGGGAAACCAGGAAGGAATTTCTTGAATGACTCAGATTTTTCATTCTGTTTCCTATCCTCTTCATACATGTGTAAGAGATCACACGGTGTGTATTCTCTGGTGTCCAGCTGAGCCAAACACTCTCCTTGCAAATAATCCCAAAGTATTAGGGTTCCATCCTGAAACAAAGAGAGGGCTAAATTTATGAAACATTCTTATGCATTTATTTTTTTTTTTTTATTATCACACTGGCCGATTCCCACCAAGGCAGGGTGGCCCGAAAAAGAAAAACTTTCACCATCATTCACTCCATCACTGTCTTGCCAGAAGGGTGCTTTACACTACAGTTTTTAAACTGCAACATTAACACCCCTCCTTCAGAGTGCAGGCACTGTACTTCCCATCTCCAGGACTCAAGTCCGGCCTGCCGGTTTCCCTGAACCCCTTCATAAATGTTACTTTGCTCACACTCCAACAGCACATCAAGTATTAAAAACCATTTGTCTCCATTCACTCCTATCAAACACGCTCATGCATACCTGCTGGAAGTCCAAGCCCCTCGCACACAAAACCTCCTTTACCCCCTCTCTCCAACCTTTCCTAGGCCGACCCCTACCCCGCCTTCCTTCCACTACAGACTGATACACTCTTGAAGTCATTCTGTTTCGCTCCATTCTCTCTACATGTCTGAACCACCTCAAACAACCCTTCCTCAGCCCTCGGACAACAGTTTTGGTAATCCCGCACCTCCTCCTAACTTCCAAACTACGAATTCTCTGCATTATATTCACACCACACATTGCCCTCAGACATGACATCTCCACTGCCTCCAGCCTTCTCCTCGCTGCAACATTCATCACCCATGCTTCACACCCATATAAGAGCGTTGGTAAAACTATACTCTCATACATTCCCCTCTTTGCCTCCAAGGACAAAGTTCTTTGTCTCCACAGACTCCTAAGTGCACCACTCACTCTTTTTCCCTCATCAATTCTATGATTCACCTCATCTTTCATAGACCCATCCGCTGACACGTCCACTCCCAAATATCTGAATACATTCACCTCCTCCATACTCTCTCCCTCCAATCTGATATTCAATCTTTCATCACCTAATCTTTTTGTTATCCTCATAACCTTACTCTTTCCTGTATTCACCTTTAATTTTCTTCTTTTGCACACCCTACCAAATTCATCCACCAATCTCTGCAACTTCTCTTCAGAATCTCCCAAGAGCACAGTGTCATCAGAAAAGAGCAGCTGTGACAACTCCCACTTTGTGTGTGATTCTTTATCTTTTAACTCCACGCCTCTTGTCAAGACCCTCGCATTTACTTCTCTTACAACCCCATCTATAAATATATTAAACAACCACGGTGACATCACACATCCTTGTCTAAGGCCTACTTTTACTGGGAAATAATTTCCCTCTTTCCTACATACTCTAACTTGAGCCTCACTATCCTCGTAAAAACTCTTCACTGCTTTCAGTAACCTACCTCCTACACCATACACTTGCAACATCTGCCACATTGCCCCCCTATCCACCCTGTCATATGCCTTTTCCAAATCCATAAATGCCACAAAGACCTCTTTAGCCTTATCTAAATACTGTTCACTTATATGTTTCACTGTAAACACCTGGTCCACACACCCCTACCTTTCCTAAAGCCTCCTTGTTCATCTGCTATCCTATTCTCCGTCTTACTCTTAATTCTTTCAATAATAACTCTACCATACACTTTACCAGGTATACTCAGCAGACTTATCCCCCTATAATTTTTGCACTCTCTTTTATCCCCTTTGCCTTTATACAAAGGAACTATGCATGCTCTCTGCCAATCCCTAGGTACCTTACCCTCTTCCATACATTTATTAAATAATTGCACCAACCACTCCAAAACTATATCCCCACCTGCTTTTAACATTTCTATCTTTATCCCATCAATCCCGGCTGCATTTATTATACTATACAAATATAGAAGTGGGTCATAATAAGCGTGTATGCACCTGGAGAAGAGAGGAATGCAGAGGAGAGAGAGAGATTTTGGGAGATGTTAAGTGAATGTATAGGAGCCTTTGAACCAAGTGAGAGAGTAATTGTGGTAGGGACCTGAATGCTAAAGTAGGAGAAACTTTTAGAGAGGGTGTGGTAGGTAAGTTTGGGGTGCCAGGTGTAAATGATAATGGGAGCCCTTTGATTGAACTTTGTATAGAAAGGGGTTTAGTTATAGGTAATACATATTTTAAGAAAAAGAGGATAAATAAGTATACAAGATATGATGTAGGGCAAAATGAGAGTAGTTTGTTGGATTATGTATTGGTAGATAAAAGACTGTTGAGTAGACTTCAGGATGTACATGTTTATAGAGGGGCCACAGATATATCAGATCACTTTCTAGTTGTAGCTACACTGAGAGTAAAAGGTAGATGGGATACAAGGAGAATAGAAGCATCAGGGAAGAGAGAGGTGAAGGTTTATAAACTAAAAGAGGAGGCAGTTAGGGAAAGATATAAACAGCTATTGGAGGATAGATGGGCTAATGAGAGCATAGGCAATGGGGTCGAAGAGGTATGGGGTAGGTTTAAAAATGTAGTGTTAGAGTGTTCAGCAGAAGTTTGTGGTTACAGGAAAGTGGGTGCAGGAGGGAAGAGGAGCGATTGGTGGAATGATGATGTAAAGAGAGTAGTAAGGGAGAAAAAGTTAGCATATGAGAAGTTTTTACAAAGTAGAAGTGATGCAAGGAGGGAAGAGTATATGGAGAAAAGGAGAGGTTAAGAGAGTGGTTAAGCAATGTAAAAAGAGAGCAAATGAGAGAGTGGGTGAGATGTTATCAACAAATTTTGTTGAAAATAAGAAAAAGTTTTGGAGTGAGATTAACAAGTTAAGGAAGCCTAGACAACAAATGGATTTGCCAGTTAAAAATAGGAGAGGAGAGTTATTAAATGGAGAGTTAGAGGTATTGGGAAGATGGAGGGAATATTTTGAGGAATTGTTAAATGTTGATGAAGATAGGAAAGCTGTGATTTCGTGTATAGGGCAAGGAGGAATAACATCTTGTAGGAGTGAGGAAGAGCCAGTTGTGAGTGTGGGGGAAGTTCGTGAGGCAGTAGGTAAAATGAAAGGGGGTAAGGCAGCCGGGATTGATGAGATAAAGATAGAAATGTTAAAAGCAGGTGGGGATATAGTTTTGGAGTGGTTGGTGCAATTATTTAATAAATGTATGGAAGAGGGTAAGGTACCTAGGGATTGGCAGAGAGCATGCATAGTTCCTTTGTATAAGGCAAAGGGGACAAAAGAGAGTGCAAAAATTATAGGGGGATAAGTCTGTTGAGTATACTGGTAAAGTGTATGGTAGAGTTATTATTGAAAGAATTAAAAGTAAGACTGAGAATAGGATAGCAGATGAACAAGGAGGCTTTAGGAAAGGTAGGGGGTGTGTGGACCAGGTGTTTACAGTGAAACATATAAGTGAACAGTATTTAGATAAGGCTAAAGAGGTCTTTGTGGCATTTATGGATTTGGAAAAGGGTATGACAGGGTGGATAGGGGGGCAATGTGGCAGATGTTGCAGGTGTATGGTGTAGGAGGTAGGTTACTGAAAGCAGTGAAGAGTTTTTATGAGGATAGTGAGGCTCAAGTTAGAGTACATAGGAAAGAGGGAAATTATTTCCAAGTAAAAGTAGGCCTTAGACAGGGATGTGTGATGTCACCGTGGTTGTTTAATATATTTATAGATGGGGTTGTAAGAGAAGTAAATGCAAGGGTCTTGACAAGAGGCGTGGAGTTAAAAGATAAGGAATCACACATAAAGTGGGAATTGATGACACTGATGACACTGTGCTCTTGGGAGATTCTGAAGAGAAGTTGCAGAGATTGGTGGATGAATTTGGTAGGGTGTGCAAAAGAAGAAAATTAAAAGTGAATACAGGAAAGAGTAAGGTTATGAGGATAACAAAAATATTAGGTGATGAAAGATTGGATATCAGATTGGAGGGAGAGAGTATGGAGGAGGTGAATGTATTCAGATATTTGGGAGTGGACGTGTCAGCGGATGGGTCTATGAAGGATGAGGTGAATCATAGAATTGATGAGGGGAAAAGGGTGAGTGGTGCACTTAGGAGTCTGTGGAGACAAAGAACATCGTCCTTGGAGGCAAAGAGGGGAATGTATGAGAGTATAGTTTTACCAACACTCTTATATGGGTGTGAAGCATGGGTGATGAATGTTGCAGCGAGGAGAAAGCTGGAGGCAGTGGAGATGTCATGTCTGAGGGCAATGTGTGGTGTGAATATAATGCAGAGAATTCGTAGTTTGGAAGTTAGGAGGAGGTGCGGGATTACCAAAACTGTTGTCCAGAGGGCTGAGGAAGGGTTGTTGAGGTGGTTCGGACATGTAGAGAGAATGGAGCGAAACAGAATGACTTCAAGAGTGTATCAGTCTGTAGTGGAAGGAAGGCGGGGTAGGGGTCGGCCTAGGAAAGGTTGGAGGGAGGGGGTAAAGGAGGTTTTGTGTGCGAGGGGCTTGGACTTTCAGCAGGCGTGCGTGAGCGTGTTTGATAGGAGTGAATGGAGACGAATGGTTTTTAATACTTGACGTGCTGTTGGAGTGTGAGCAAAGTAACATTTATGAAGGGGTTCAGGGAAACCGGCAGGCCGGACTTGAGTCCTGGAGATGGGAAGTACAGTGCCTGCACTCTGAAGGAGGGGTGTTAATGTTGCAGTTTAAAAACTGTAGTGTAAAGCACCCTTCTGGCAAGACAGTGATGGAGTGAATGATGGTGAAAGTTTTTCTTTTTCGGGCCACCCTGCCTTGGTGGGAATCGGCCAGTGTGATAATAAAATAAATAAAGTCCTTTCCTTATAAGGCACAGGAATCTAGATCTTAAAGCTAGATGCATATATATAAAATTTCTGTTACTTACCCCAGAGCAGGACAGGAGGAGGTTGTTGTTTTGAGGCAGAAGCTCCACTTGTGTAACAAATTCTTTATGTCCAAGACAAAAGGACACAATGTTGTAAGAATTGGGATAGTGAGACACACGAATCTTCTCGTCTCGGTCGCACGTGATGATATATTTGTCGTCCTCAGTAATTGCCTTTGGAAAAAATGTGACGGTGGTTTAACCCTTAAACTGTCCAAACGTAGATCTACGTTCACGTACGTAGCGCTCCAACCTTTATTTTCCCCATTTGAAAGCATGTAAAAAAAAAGTAGATCTACGTTCGGAGCCCCTGCACGTGAACGTAGATCTACATTTGGGCAGTTTAAGGGTTAATATTATGTTTATAAATCTACTACACAAGGGGCTGGTAACCCTTCTCCTGTATAAATTACTATACGTAAAAAGAAGAAAAACTTTTGTTTCTTCTTTTCTGGGTCACTCTGTCTTGGTGGGAGATGGTTGATGTATCAAGAAAAAAAAATAATTTTTTTTTTTGGGTCACCCTGCCTTAGTGGGAGACAGCTGGTGTGTCAAAAAAAAAAAATACTACTACAGTACAAATTGTTATTATTATAATCAAAGAGAAGTGCTAAACCTACAAGGGTCATCTACAGTACAAAAGTTAGTTATCTACAGTACTAACACACTGAAAGACCACTTTCATTAAATGTTGCATATACAATTTATTCATCAATCTGACATGTCAGTACCGTATACCATTAATATGATATAGTACCTACTACTAGATTCTTGTCCCATTATATTTCTAACATAACTAAGTAACTTCCTGTATCTTCATATATATTCAATCACTCTACAAAACTGAACATCATTGAAAGAATAAGTCATACTTTTAAAACTGCACCATTTGTTCATTAGCTACCTTTCTTATGGTACACACAATAAGACCTCGACTTATAAACATGTCAAAAATCTTCTGTATTGTCTATATCAATATTATATCATTACTGTGTATAATATCATTATTATATCATTACTGTGTATAATATCATTATTATATCATTACTGTGTACAATATCATTATAATATCAGTACTGTGTATTATTGTTATTATTATAATCACGGGGGACATTACTGTGTATAATATCATTATTATACACAATACAGAAGGTCCCCAACATGTTTGTAAGTTGAAGACTTCCTGTATTATATTTATTTTTTATTAACACATCAGTCATCTCCCACCAAGGCAGGGTGGCCCGAAAAAGAAAAACTTTCACCATTATTCACTCCATTACTGTCTTGCCAGAGGCATGCTTACACTACAGTTATAAAACTATAACATTAACACCCCTCCTTCAGAGCGCCGTCACAGTACTTCCCATCTCCAGGACCCAAGTCCGGCCTTGCTCACACTCCAACAGTATGTCAAGTCCTAAAAACCATTTGTCTCCATTCATTCCTAACATGCTCACGCATGCTTGCTGGAAGTCGAAGTCCCTCTCACACAAAACTTCCCTTACCCCCTCCCTCCAACCTTTCCTAAGCCGACCCCTACCTCTCGAAGTCATTTGAAGTCATCCTCTCTATATGTGTATATTACGAATATTATGTACAATTGTGGAGGTACCTAACATGTTCATAAGTTGAGAACGTCCTGTATATAGTAGGATACCTGTATCCGTGGATTAAGTTATTTGCTGTTTACCTAGGCCCAAAAACTATTATGGAGGTTGCAATTTGCAGTTTCATTATTTTTATTTATCTTCTGATTTCATTCATTCATTTTTTACTGTTTGAATAAGAGTGTATAAAACATGGTCATATAAAGTCTCATTAAGATAGGTCAACAAACTAAAAAAAAAATAGTATACTGAAAACTGGATTTGGCAGCAAATGGGCACATACTGGCACTGCCAAAAGTGAGTCAGTTAATAAGTCAGTAGGTCAGTAAATCATTCAATCAATAAGTCAGTCAGCAGGTCAGTAGCCAGTCAGTAGGTTAGTAAATCAATCAGTCAGTAAGTCAGTGAGGGGTCAGTAAGTCAGCAGCTCAGTCAGTCAGCCAAGCAGCAGCAACAGCAGGTGTGGTGTAGTGGTAGTGGTGGTAGAGGTGGAGGTGGAATGTATTTTATTATTATTTAATGTTGGTAATGTCTTATTGTGCATAATTTATCAATTAAACTTGATGATAGTTATGTTAACCCTTTGACTGTCGCGGCCGTATATATACGTTTACGAGGTACCGTGTTTGACGTATATATACTCATAAATTCTAGCGGCTTCAAATCAGGCAGGAGAAAGCTGGTAGGCCCACATGTGAGAGAATGGGTCTGTGTGGTCAGTGTGCACCATATAAAAAAAATCCTGGAGCACGCAGTGCAAAATGAGAAAAAAAAAACTCCGACTGTTTTTTTTAATTAAAATGCCGACTTTGTGGTCTATTTTCGTATAGTATTTATGGTTGCATTCTCGTTTTCTTGGTCTCATTTGATAGAATGGAAACTATATTATAGAAATATAGGTGATTTTGATTAATTTTACTATAAAAAGAACCTGGAAATGGAGCACAAAGTACGGGAAATGTTTGATTTTTGCCGATGTTCAAAAGTAAACAAATGATGTCACTGTCCAATAAATGTCCAAATAGCCATTCTAATATGCAGTCATGAATGGGTTGATGTAATTTTTACAATTATTACAGTATTGCAGTAGTCTGCATAACAGTAAATCTTCTATTTTTTGTTTGAATAAAATTTCAAAATAAAAAGCAAGAGTAATATCACAGGGGCCTGGAGACATGACTGATGAACAAAGAAAATGTTATTTTAGAGCCAGAAATGTCTGCATTGTTCATTCTGGTCCTTATTTTGAAATTGTCATATTTTTTAATTTTCGTGAAATTGGCCAAATTGCAAATTTCTGACCATGTTATTGGGTAGTTGAAATCGGTAAATGGGCAGTTTCTTGTACTCAATCGATGGAAAAAATGGAGTTCTGCAGAAATAGCTATGAGTTTGGTTGACTGGAATAATGGAATTAGCCAAAAATAGGGCTCAAAGTGGGCGAAATCGCCGATTTGTAAATATCGCTGAGGTCGCTAACTTCACAAGAGCGTAATTCTGTCAGTTTTCCAGCAAATTTCGTTTTTTTTTTGTGTGTCTTTACAATCGGGAAAAGATTCTCTATCATTTCATAAGAATTTTTTTTTTTTTTTTTTAAATTTTGTGACACCAGGAGACACCTCAGGATTGGGAGTTGCGACAGTCAAAGGGTTAATAAAGTACTGAGGGTGTCGAACCAGATAAGAACAAGAGATAATGGATTTAAGTTGGATAAATTTAGATTTAGAAAGGACATAGGTAAGCACTGGTTTTCTAACAGAGTTGTGGATGGGTGGAACAGTCTTCCCAGTGGGGTGATAGAGGCTAGGACCTTGGGTAGCTTTAAGAAGAGATTGGACAAATATATGAGTGGGAGGGGCTGGGTTTGATTGGTGTCATTGGGTATGGGAGTTAATTTTTGGGTTGCTTTTGGTAGAGGACATTTTGATAAGGACCTGCCTTGTATGGGCCAGTAGGCCTTCTGCAGTGTTCCTCCATTCTTATGTTCTTATGTATGTAAATGACAAAAGTCTTGTATATAGGGTTCGTTACTATCTGCGGCTTCAGGCATCCATGGCAGGTCTTGGAATGCATCACCTACGGATATTAGGGACTACTACTGTAACTGTAATTAAGTGCATAAGAAATCCTAAATCTTAAGTAGTCTTTAAATATTAAGATCAGTTTGCCCAAAATATATTAATAATAATAATAATAGTGGAGGGAAGGTGGGGTAGGGGTCGGCCTAGGAAAGGTTGGAGGGAGGGGGTGGAGGAGGTTTTGTGTGTGAGGGGCTTGGACTTCCAGCAAGCATGCATGAGCATGTTATAGAGGAGCAAATAGAGACAGATGGTTTTTAGGACTTGATGTGCTGTTTGAGTGTAAGCAAAGTAACATTTATGAAGGGATTCAGGGAAACCAGCAGGCCGGACTTGAGTCCTGGAGGTGGGAAGTACAGTGTCTGCACTCTGAAGGACGGATGTTAATGCTGCAGTTTTATAACTGTAGTATAAGTGTGCCTCTGGCAAGACAGTGATGGAGTGAATGATGATGAAAAGAACAACAAAGTTCGTAAAAATTTTTTTTTTTTGTCAACTGTCAAAGACGAAACAAATTAAACAAGATTCAAAGAACAGGAACAACTATTATTATTATTATTATTATTATTATTATTATTATAACTAAGCACTAAACCCAAAAGGGTCATACAACCCTGCAGGAAAACTTTAATTTTGGTGATGCTTCAACAGTGGCTCTTAAGCCTCCATCTACGATAAGACATGTGCAACATGGTCGTGTCATTACTGCTGCAACATTTTTAAGATACATGCAACATGTGCATCATTACTGCTGCAGCATTTATAAGACACGTGCGACACGTCATTACTGCTGCATGCAACATGAAAGTGTCATTACTGCTGCAACATTTATAAGACACATGCAACATGCATGTATCATTACTGCTGCAACATTTATAAGACACATGCAACATGCATGTATCATTACTGCTGCAACATTTATAAGACACATGCAACATGCATGTATCATTACTGCTGCAACATTTATAAGACACATGCAACATGCATCATTACTGCTGCAACATTTATAAGACACATGCAACATGCATGTATCATTACTGCTGCAACATTTATAAGACACATGCAACATGCATGTATCATTACTGCTGCAACATTTATAAGACACATGCAACATGCATCATTACTGCTGCAACATTTATAAGACACATGCAACATGCATGTATCATTACTGCTGCAACAATTGTAAGACACATGCAACATGCATGTATCATTACTGCTGCAACATTTATAAGACACATGCAACATGCATGTATCATTACTGCTGCAACATTTATAAGACATGTGCAACATGTGAGTGTCATTACTGCCAAACAATTTCACCTAAGCTGCAGGCGTCTTAAGTCGAATATGGAAGTGATTTCAACACTGGAGACAGTGGAGAAGTAAATTTGAAATATTCAGTCCCGTGCCTTGATATAAAGTGTTCAGTCCCTCAGTCATGATTGAAGGTGGTCAGTCCCTTAGTCTTGACTGAAGGTGATCAGTCCCTAAGCCATGACTGAAGGTGATCAGTCCCTCAGCCATGACTGAAGGTGATCAGTCCCTCAGCCATAACTGAAGGTGATCAGGCCTTCAGCCATGACTGAAGGTGGTCAGTCCCTATCATGACTGAAGGTGGTCAGTCCCTCAGCCATGACTGAAGGTGATCAGTCCCTTAGCCATGACTGAAGATGGTCAGTCCCTTAGTCTTGATTGAAGGTGATCAGTCCCTCAGCCATGACTGAAGATGGTCAGTCCCTCAGCCATGACTGAAGGTGGTCAGTCCCTCAGCCACGACAGGTGGTGGTCAATCCCTTAGTCTTGACAGAAGGTGGTCAGTCCTTCAGGCTGAAGGGCTTTAATTCAAGATAACCTCATGAAGAAACAAAGGTTATTATTTTATTTTTAAGAAAAATTTCACAAGCATGGTAGTAATACAAACTTTTTTTTCAACAAGTCGGCTGTCTCCCACTGAGGCAGGGTGACCCAAAAAGAAAGAAAATCCCCAAAAACAAAATACTTTCATCATTCACCTCACTCATACATAATTACTGCCTTTGCAGAGGCGCTCAGATACGACAGTTTAGAAATCCCTCCAAACTGTCAATATCCCAAACCCCTCCTTTAAAGTGCAGGCATTGTACTTCCCATTTCCAGTACTCAAGCCCGGCTAAATCTATAATATGTAACTGGTTTTCCTAAATCCCTTCATAAAATATTACCCTGCTCACACTCCAACAGCTCATCAAGTCCCCAAAACCATTTGTCTCCATTTATTCCTATCTAACACGCTCACACACGCTTGCTGGAAGTCCAAGCCCCTCGCCCACAAAACCTCCTTTACCCCCTCCCTCCAACCTTCTCGAGGACGACCTCTACCCCTCCTCCCTTCCCTTACAGATTTGTACGCTCTCCAAGTCATTCTACTTTGATCCATTCTCTCTAAATGACCAAACCACCTCAACAACCCCTCTTCAGCCCTCTGATTCTAATACTTTTAGTAACTCCACACCTCCTCCTAATATCCACACTACGAATTCTCTGCATAATATTTACACCACATATTGCCCTTAGACAGGACATCTCCAGCTGCCTCCTCACTGCAGCATTTACAACCCAAGCTTCACACCCATATAAGTGTTGGTACCACTATACTTTCATACATTCCCTTCTTTGCCTCCATAGATAATGTTTTTTCCTTCATCAATTCTATGGCTAACCTCATCCTTCATAAACCCATCCACTTACAAGTCAACTCCCAAATATCTGAAAACATTCACTTCTTCCATACTCTCTCTCTGATAACCAATTTTTCTTTATCTGAATCATTTGATACCTTCATCACCTTACTTTTATCTATGTTCACTTTCAACTTTCTACCTTTACACGCCCTCCCAAACTCATCTACTAACCTTTGCAACTTTTCTTTAGAATCTCCCATAAGCAGAGTATCATCAGGAAAAAGTAACTGTGTCAACTCCCATTTTGTAATGCAAACATATAATGCTGATATGGGTAACACCTAGCAGCTTAATGCATTTGTTGTGGTTGATGGGGCAGCCCAAAATCTGAAACAAATTTAATGGACCCCGATTTAACAGTTTTCATGTTTAACAAACAAAGTTTGTTACCAAATATTTGGAAGCAACAGACAAAGTCTGTTAAATGCAGAATTGTCTGCAATTCTTACAGTTCATTGGGTAAATTCATTTAACAGACAAAATTTATTAAGCCCAGAATTGTTCATTACTGTTGCATTCCAATGGGCAACATTCTTTTTTGTTGAAAGAAGAAGACTTATTATTTTTCAAAGTTGCCTTGCAATACAGTACACTAGCATTTTTTATTTATATTTTTTTCTTCATCAAACTGGCCGTATCCCACTGAGGCATGGTGGCCCTAAAAGAAAAACAAAAGTTTCTCTTTATAACTTCAGTAATGTATACAGGAGAAAGGGTTACTAGTCCCTTGCTCCTGGCATGTTAGTCGCCTCTTACGACACATGTAGCTTTCAGAGGAAGAATTCTGTTCCACATCCCCATGGAGATTTATAATTTTTACTTTTGCATAATTTTTTAGGCCTAGTGCTACTGAATACTTAATAAAATGATAGTGTAAACATGTTTTTAGACTTTTATATGCACTGGCACTTTAAGGCGATATTTGTTTTATGGCGGTGGTCTGGAACCTAACCTGCAAGTTTTTTTTTTTTCAACAAGTCAGCCATCTCCCACCAAGGCAGGGAGACCCAAAAAGAAAGATAATCCCCAAGGTATGTCTGAAATTCAATTTGAAGAACATACAAAATTACATGACTTAGTAAATGACTAATCGGGAATATAAAAGTAGGTTGACCAACAGAGAGTTCCTTTGAACATTCTTTGCATAATATTGATTTGATTAATACTTATGATTATTAAATAAAAGATTATTACCCACCATGTCCAGAAGCATTGACAGATGACCCAGTATAGGCTTTGGTGTCACTGGAGTTACCTCCTTTTCTTTCTCTCCTTTATTATTCTCCTCTTGGTCCTTTTCTCTCCCTCCTTTATTATTCTCCTCTTGGTCCTTTTCTCTCCCTCCTTTATTATTCTCCTCTTGGTCCTTTTCTCTCTCTCCTCTATTATTCTCCTCTTGATCCTTTTCTCTCTCTCCATTATTCTCCTCTCGGTCCTTTTCTCTCTCTCCATTATTCTTCTCTTGGTACTTTTCTCTCTCTCCTTCATTATTCTCCTCTTGGTTCTCTTCTCCCTTTCCTTCATTTTTCTCCTGCTCAGATAATCTGTCCTGCTTATCTTTTGGTTGACTTCCTTTCAATGGGAAACTATACACATCACCAGATTTATCTGAAAATAGATATAATTTAAGAAAAATACTTCATAAACAACTAGAATATAAATTTTTACATATACTTTTGCACACCCCTGCAAAGACAGTGATAGTGAGAATGATGGTGAAAGTTTTTTTTTTTGTGGGGGGGGGGAGGGCGTCACCCTACCTCGGTGGGGGACGGCCATTGTGTGAAAAAATAATACTCTTTATCCTGCATAAATGAATATGATACATACTTATTTCTACGAATTTCATATAAATTACCATAAAAATACTGCTTAGTGATAATATACTGATGCAGCAATTCATGCATACTCTGGTATGTATTAGAGTACAGTGGACCCCTGGTTCGCAAAGTCATCGGTAACCGATAAATCCGGTATCCGAAGCATTATATCGCAAAAAATTTGCCTCGGTTCCCGTTACAAAACCCAGTACGCGATACGATTCATACGAGACGTGTCCACGTGTGGCCTGAACTGCCCCATGTGTGCCAGTGTTTACAAGCCAGCCAGTGTGCGCACATCTAAGGATACATTCGGTACATTCCATATTATTCATATTATCACTGTTTTTGGTGCTTGTTTCTGCAAAATAAGTCACCATGGGCCCCAAGAAAGCTTCTAGTGCCAACCCATTGAGACTAAGGGTGCTAATGACTATTGAAATAAAGAAAGAGATAATTGCAAAGTATGAAAGTGGAGTGCGTGTGTCAGACCTGGTCAAGTTGTATGGTAAATCCCAATCAACCATCTCTACTATAGTGAGCAGGAAAACGGCAATCAAGGAAGCTGTTCTTGCAAAAGGTGCAACTGTGATTACAAAACAGCAATCACAAGTGTTAGAAAATGTTGAGAGACTGTTATTGGTGTGGATTAATGAAAAACAGATAGCTGGAGATAGCATCTCTCAAGCGATCATTTGTGAAAAGGCTAGGCAGGTGCATGAGGATTTAATTAGAAAAATGCCTGCAACTAGTGGTGATGTGAGTGAATTTAAGGCCAGCAAAGGTTGATTTGAAAGATTTAAGAATCGTAGTGGCATACATAGTGTGATTAGGCATGGTGAGGCTGGTCCTAGTGGCATTAAAAGAAGAAGGGAAGTAACCCCAGAAAAGGACTTGCTACCTCAAGTCCTAATGGAGGGGGATTCCCCTTCTAAACATTAAAAACTTCGACACTCTCCCCTCCTCCCATCCCATCAATCATCACCAGATCTTCAATAAAGGTAAGTGTCAATTATTCTATTGTGATTATTCTATTGTTATTGTAATTATTCTATTGCATTAAACTTAATATTTCATGTGGTAAAAGTTTTTTTTTCATACTTTTGGGTGTCTTGCACGGATTAATTTGATTTCCATTATTTCTCATGGGGAAAATTGATTTGCTTTCCGATAATTTTGCTTTACGATGAGCTCTCAGGAACGGATTAATAACGTGAACCGGGGGTCCACTGTATTTAACAAAACAATGTACCTTAAAGTGTAATCTGTAGTATAGAAGTAAATACAGGTTGGCCATCACTAATCTGGCATCATCGGGACCTGTAGGGTGCCGGATTAGTGATTTTGCCGGATTATAGAGTGGATAGGTTAGAATACACTTAACCCAACGGCAATATTTATGCACTGGCGATTTCACCCACTTTATGCCCTATTTTTGGCCCATTTCATTGTTCCAGTCTACCAAACTCATAGCTATTTTGCTAGTATTCCTTCTATTCTGTCAACTGAGCACAAGAAACTGCCCATTCGAAAATTTCAGCTATCCAATAAAGTGGTCAGAAATCAGTAATTTGTCCAATTTCACACAAATTTCAAAAGATGTCAATTTCAAAACAGGGTCCAGAATAAACAATGCAAACATTCCTAACACTAAAATAACATTTTCTCTGTTCATTAGTCATGTTGCAAGGCCCTCTTACATTATGCTTGTTTTCCATTTTGAATTTTTATTCACTCAAAAAATAGAAGATTTACTGTTATGCAGACTACTGCATTACTGTATTAATTGTCTAAATAATGTCAACCCATTCACGACTGTGTATCAGACCAGCCAGCTGGACACGTAATGGACAGTGACATCATTTGTTCACTCTTGAACATCAGCAAAAATCGAACATTTCCGTTTTGAGCTCAATTTTAAGGTACAGTATATTCCAGTGTGAAACCAATCAAAATTACAGTGGACCCTCGACTAACGCTATTAATCCGTTCCTGAGAGCTCATCGTTAGTCAAAATTATCGTTAGTCAAGTTAATTTTCCCCATAAGAAATAATGGAAATCAAATTAATCCGTGTAGGACACCCCAAAGTATGAAAAAAAAATTGTTTTTACCACATGAAATATTAATTTTAATACACAAACTGAAGAAGACATGCACAGTTACATGACACTTACCTTTATTGAAGATCTGGTGATGATTGATGGGATGGGAGAGTGTTGATGGTCTTAGTGTTTAGAAGGGGAATCCCTTCCATTAGGACTTGAGGTGGCAAGTCCTTTTCCGGGGTTACTTCCCTTCCCTTTAAATCTCTCAAACCAACCTTTGCTGGCCTTAAATTCACTCACATCACCACTAGTTGCTGGCATTTTTTTAATTATATCGTCATGCAACTTCCTAGCCTTTTCACATATGATCACTTGAGAGATGCTATCTCCTGCTATCTGTTTTTCGTTTATCCACACCAATAACAGTCTCTCAACATCTTTGAGTACTTGTGATCTCAGTTTCGAAAACATAGTTGCACCTTTGGCAAGAACAGCTTCCTTGATTGCCGTTTTCTTACCCACAATAGTAGCGATGGTTGATTGGGGTTTTGTGTACAACCTGGCCAGCTCGGAGACACGCACTCCACTTTCATACTTAGCAATAATCTCTTTCTTCATATCCATAGTAATTCTCACCCTTTTTGCTGTAGGGTTGGCACTAGAAGCTTTCTTGGGGCCCATGGTGACTTATTTTGCAGGTGCAATCACTAAAAAGGCTGTGATAATATGAAATGTTCCGTTTGTATGCTTGGAAGCGACCGCGGTGGCTGGCTGGCTTGTAAACACTGGCCAGAAGTGGACGCGTCTCAGACGGAACAAATAGTGTTGGTCGAGCTTTTTAGCGCTAGTCCAGGCAAAATTTTTGCGTTAAAATGTATCGCTAGTCGGATTTATCGTTAATCAATGCCATCGTTGGTCGAGGGTCCACTGTATATCTATTTCTATAATATATCTTTCATTCTATCAAATGAGACCAAAAAATGAGAATACAACCATACAAACCATATGAAAATACACTGCAAAAGTCACTGTTTTACACCAAAAGCAGAGTTGCCTTTTATTCTCATTATGCACTGAGTGCTGCAAGATTTTTTTTATATGGTGTACACTTACCACACAGACCTATTCTCCCATATGTAGGCCCAAATATAGTCATGTCTCAAGGCCCCTCTTATATTACGCTTGCCTTCCATTTTGAATTTTTATTCACACACAAAAATAGAAGATTTACTGTTATGCAGACTACTGTATTATTTTAAAAATGGTATAAATATAGCATATTAGATCCACCAACTGGCATGTATGGGATCTGTGACGTGATTTGTTTACTCTTGAACATCAGTAAAAATCAAACATTTCCACTACTTTGAGCTCAATTTCAAGATATTTTTAGTCCATAAACCATTCAAAACCATCTCTAGTTCGGTAATATATCTTCTATTCTATCAAATGAGGCCAAGAAAACAAGAATACATCCATAAATACCATACAAAAATACGCTGCAAATTCGCCGTTTCAAATGAAAAACACGCTCAGAGTTTTTTCTCATTATGCATTGCGTGCTGCAGGATGTTTTTTTATACTGCATACACTGACCACTCAGACCCATTCTCTCATATGTAGGCTTACCAGCTTTCGCAAGTTTGGAAGCCGCTAGAATTTTGGCATACTATTACGGGACCGACAATGGTTTGCAAGCTGTAATATTATGGGAACAACAGTGAAAGGGTTAAGACCCATTCTATACTGACCAGGCATGTCAGGCCAATCGTGCCATATTTGGAGGCAGGAAAAATAAAATTATCTACATTTGGAGCACTAGCGGTAACAACGTAGATCTATGTTTGGACACTTAACCCTCTGAGGGTCGGTCATGTACAAGTACATCATTGCAGCCAGGGTCGGTCATGTACTTACATGCCTAAATTCTAGCGCCTTCAAATCTGGTGGAAGAAAGCTGGTAGGCCTACATATGAAAGAATGGGTCTGTGTGGTCAGTGTGCGCAGTATAAAATAAATCCTGAAGCACGCTGTGCATAATGAGAGAAAAAAAAAACTTTGTGTATCTGGTTTAAAACAGCGACTTTCTAGTGTATTTTTGTATGGTATTTATGGTTGTATTCTCGTTTCCTTGGTCTCATTTGATAGAATAGAAGATATATTACAGAATTAGAGACGATTCTGATTGGTTTCCCAATGACAAGTACCTTGAAATTAAGCTGAAAGTAGAAGAAATGATCAATTTTTCCCGATGTTCAAGAGTAAACAAATCAAGCCACACGTCCAATACACGTCAACTGGTGAGTCTAATATTCTTTCACAAATGTGCTGATATCATTTATACCATTTTTACAATGATGCAGTAGTATACATAACAGAAAACCTATTTTCTGTGAGAATAAAAATTCAAAATGGAAAGCAAAAGTAATGTAAGAGAGGCCTAGAGACATGACTAATGAACAGATAAAATGTTATTTTAATGCCATGAATGTCTGTCTTGTTTATTCTGGACCCTATTTCGAAATTGGCATCTTTTGAAATGTGTGAAATTGCCCAAATTGCCAATTTCTGACCACTTTATTGGGTAGCTGAAATTGGTAAATGGGATGTTTTTTGTACTCAATCGTTAGAACAAATGGAGTTCTACGGAAATAGCTATGATTTTAGTCAACTGCAACATTGGAATTGGCCGAAAATAGGGCTCAAAGTGGGCGATTTCGCCCACTTTGAGACCGCTAACTTCACAAGAGCATAATTCTATAAGTTTTCCATCAAATTTCATACTTTTGGTATCATTATGATTGGAAAAAGATTCTCTATCATAAGAAAAAATAATTTTTTGTTTTTCAAAAAAATTTTCGACCCTGAGAACGAGTTTGGGAGAAGGCCTCTCGACCCTCCAAAGGTTAAGGGGTTAATAAGGTTAATACATTCACATCATCTTTTGAAAAAGTTTAAACTACAAACCAGCTACAAGCAGTGTTGAGGAGTCAGATGTTATGGCAATAGCCATGGGTCTCTTCACAAGTCTGTGAATGCAGAGTCGCGTCCAAGTCTTCGTACACCACACCACCGCACTTTTCTCCTCAAATGCTATAGCTAAATACTGACCGTCCCGAGATGCTTTCACTGATACAATACTATACAAACTGCTGGAAAATAACGATTACTTATTATAAATAATGAAATTACATTAGCAATTGAATCCCATGTAAGAAAAGAATCTACACTATGAAAATTAGGAGCAAGTCTATTAAGAATACATCTTCAAATGATATTCAGTTTCTTTATTGATGCTTCAGATTCTTCTGATTGATGAAGAAGCATCTGAAATGTCAATAAAGAAATGGAATATCACCTGAAAATGGTATTTTTGGCAGCCTTGGTCATACTTTTTACTAAGTGAACAAATGTCTGTCCAATAAGCAGTTAACAAAATTTTTATATTTTCCAACACACCAGTCGCCTCCCACCGAGGCAAAGTGACCCAAAAAACACTTCCACCATAACTCACACAAAATCACTGTCTTTGCAGAGGTGCCGAGGCATGACAGTTTATAAGTCACTCTAGACTCCTCCTTTAAAGTGTAGGCATTGTACTTCCCACCTCAAGGACTCAAGGCCGGCTAACCAGTTTTGCTGAATCCCTTCACCCTGTTCACAGTCCAACAGCTCATCAGGTCCCTAAAACCATTCATCTCCACTCCTATCTAACATGCTCACACATTCCTGCTGCATGTCCAGGCCCCTTGCACACAAAACCTCTTTTATCACCTCCCTCCATCCTTTCTTAGGATGACCCCTACCCCTCCTCCCCTCCACTACACATTTATACACCCTCCAGGTCAACCTATTTTGCTCCATCCTCTCTAAATGACCATACCACCTCAATAACTCCTCTTCAGCCCTCTGAACAATACTTTTAGTAACTCCACACCACCTCCTAATTTCCACACTACAAATTCTCTGCATAATATTTACACCACACATTGACCTTAGACATGACATCTCCACTGCCTCCAGCCTCCTCCTTGCTGCAGCATTCACAACCCATGCTCCACACCCATGTAAGTGTGTTGGTATCACTATACTCTTGTACATTCCCTTCTTAGCCTCCCTGCATAACTTTTTTTTGTCTCCACAGATACTTGAATGCACCACTCACCTTTTTTCCTTCATCAATTCTATGATTAAGTTCATTCTTCACAAACCCATCAGGTGACAAATCTACTCCCAAATATCTAAAAACATTCATCTCTTCCATACTCCCTCCCTCCAATGTGATATCCAGTTCTTCTTTACCTAACTTGTTTGATACCCCACCACTTTACTCTTATCTATGCTCACTTTCAACTTTCTACCTTTACACACCCTCCCAAACTTATCCATTAACCTTTGCAACTTCTTTTTATAATCTCCCAAAAGCACAGTATCATCAGGAAAAAGTGACTGTGTCAACTCCCATTTTGAATCTGATTCCCCATAATTTAATCCCACCCCTCTCCTCAACACCCTAGCATTCACTTCTTTTACAACCCCATCTATAAATATGTTAAATAACCATGGTGACATCACACATCCCTGTCTAAGGCCTACTTTTACCGGAAAGCAATCTCCCTTTCTCCTACACACCCTAACCTGAGCCTCACTATTCTCATAAAAACTCTTTACAGCACTTAGTAATTTAGTGCCTATTCCATATTGTACTTGCAACATCTGCCACATTGCTTCCCTATCCACCCTATCATATGCCTTATCTAAATCCAGAAATGCAAGATATATATATGAATACAGCAGAATCTCCGTATCCACTGATTTGGTATCTGCGGTTTCAGTAATCCGTGGTTTAATGTGGCCCAAAAATACCTCTTAATTAATTTTACATAATAGTGGCCCCAAAACACAAAAGTAGAGAAGTTGGCAGTTCTTCAAAGCCTAAGAGAAGCCGTGAAGTGCTTCCCATCAGTGAAAAAGTGATAATTCTCCACTACTGTGCATAATTTATCGATTAAACTTTAGAATAGGTATGTATAGGACTTACATATAGGGTTTGTTACTATCCATGTTTCAGTATCCACGGCAGGTTCTTGGAAAGTATCCCCCCACAGATACGGGGTCCTACCATATTATTATACTGAAAATTATAGTAACTGAATGAATGATGGTGAATGTATTTCCTCTTATTTTGGGTCACCCCTACATTGGTATGAGATGACCAGTGTGTTAAAAAAAAAAAAAAAGTACTGTTACCACTATATTCTTCAGTGACTAAACTGTAGTGAAGATTTTGGAGTGTAAGAATTTACACAAATAAATCATGACATACCATACATATAGATCTGTAGTGGAAGGAGGCGGGATAGTGATCGGCCTAGGAAAGGTTGGAGGGAGGAAGTAAAGAAAGTTTTGTGTGCGAGAGGCTTGGACTTCCAGCAAGCATGAATGAGCATGTTAAACAAGAGTTGAGACAAATGGTTTTTATGACTTGATGTGCTGTTGGAGTGTAAGCAAAGTAACATTTATGAAGGGATTCAAAACCTGAGCCCTGGAGGTGGGAAGTACAGTGCCTGCACTTTGAAGGAGGGTTGGAGATATGTTGCAAATTTTGAATTGTAGTGTTGGCACGCCTCTGACAAGACTGATGGAGTGAATGATGACAAAAGTGTTTCTTCTGTTTTGGGTCACCCTGCCTCAACGGGAAACAGATGATGAATTATTACAAAAAAAAAAAAAATCATAAACAGTATATCATAAATGAAATTTAGAACAGTAATAGGAAGTAGGATGGTAGACAGCCACTGTCTACCATCCTACTGCCAAAATAGTTTGAAATGGAAACATGTAATTGTCTTACAGAGAGAGAGTTTTATTCTTTCTGTCTCATAAACAATTAGTCCATATTACACATGCATGTATACATGTAAGTGTATACACATATGTGAGTTTTCTTCTAGTTTTTTAATAGTTCTTGTTCTTATATTATTTCCTTTCATCTCAATGGGGAAGTGGAGAAGAATCCTTCCTCCATAAGCCATGCATGCCATAAGAGGTGACTAAAGTGTCAGGAATAGGGGTAGTACCCCTTTTCTGTACAAATTACTAAATTCAAAAAGAGCATTTTAAAGCTGAATATGCACAGATGTAGTATAGACAAGAAAAAGCGGTATGTGAATGTTATGAATGATAAAGGCTGAATGCCCTTGCTCAGAGTGAAAAACAAAATTGAAGGGGCATAGGTGACTTTCAGTGTGGATAAATAAATGGGATTAGGTCAGGAGTATCTGAGAGAATTACAGCTAAGAAAGGAGTAGCAGTAATGTTGAATGATCAGTTAGGAATAGAGAGAGACTGACAAAGAGAGAGAAATTGATTTTAGGAGATCTTAATGGAGTGTTTAGGAAGTGAGAAAGTAATTTTTGGGGGAGATGTCAATGCTAAAGTTTGAGAAACTGTTACAGAGTGCATAGAATGCAAGTTAAATGATAATGGGAACCTTTAACTGAACTTTGCATAGATAAAGGTGTGGTAATAGGTAAAACATAAATTAAAAAATAAGATAAAAATTACAAGAGATACAATATAGGGCATCATGACAGCCGTTTGTTAGATTATGTATTAGTAGATAAAAGGTTGATGGATAGGCTTTTGGATCTGCATATTTTTAGAGGGGGTTACAGATATATCAGATTATTATTTACTTGTAGCTGCAGTGAGAATAAAACATACATGGAGTACAAGTAGAATGTCACCAGTAAGTGAATACTGAATGCTTATAAATTAGAGGAGATAGGTAAGGTTAAATATAAACAACTGTTGGGAGAAAGGTGGGTGAGAGAGAGTATAGGTAATGAAGAGTAGGCTGAAGAGTATAGAGAATATTTGAGAATGCAGTGTTTGAGTATCTAGCAGAAGCTTCTGGACTGAAGAGGGTGGGTGTAGGAGGCAAGAGGGAATATAAAAGGAGAGCGGTAAGAGAGTGGATTAGTTTTTCCACAAATTTTGCTGAAAATAAGAAAAAGTTTTGGAGTGAGATTAACATGTTGAGAAAGTCTAGGAAATGAATGAATTTAAGAATTAAAACAAGAGGGAATTTATTACATGTGGAGGTGGAGGTACTGGGAAGACTGAGGGAGGCAGTGGTTTCATGCACTGGATAGGGAGGTATAACATCTTTTAGGAATGAGGAAGAGCCAGATGTAAGTGTGGGGAAGATGTGTGAGGTATTGGGGAGAATGAAAGTGGGTAAAGCAGCTGGGATTGATGGAATCAAAACAAAAATGTTAAAAGCAAAGTGGGGATAGTTTTGTAGTTGATGCATTTGTTCTATAAATTATGAAAGGTACCTCAGGATTTACTCCATGGGAAAGTGGAACAGAAAACTTCCTCTGTAAGCCATGCATGTCATAAAAGGTGACTAAAGTGCCAGGACCAAGGGGCTAGTAACCTCTTCTCCTGTATACATTACAAAAGTTAAAAAGAGAATCTTTTCTTTTTCTTTTTAGGTCACCCTGCCTCAGTGGGATATGGCTGGTTTTGTAGACAGCCTGTACTGTCTGCACAGACAGCCCATGCTGTCTGCCAGCTTAGTTCATATTTTGCACCACTCAAGTGTTGCCCTCTGTAGCCAGGCCTCTCGGTAGGCACGTCAGCCTGTCTGCCCATGCCTCGCTCTCACTCTCACAGCAGCCTAGCAGGAAGACACAAGTACTCCCAGCTCTCTCTCGTGGGATGGCCCTGCCCGGGCCATGGGCACAACACAAGCCTGTGTACCCACCACGACACTTTTCAATAAACAAAGAAGCCTCCGAAGACACGTATCATTCACACCCGCTTTCAGTCCCCCAAATAAACTCGTTATAAATGGTGGAAAGCGGTGGTCGCAGCAGTTGTTTGCCCAGAGAGAGGAAGGAAGAGGTATGAAGTCATCTTCACTTCATCACCCTACACAAGAAGCATCCGTCTCTCAACAAGTTATCCTGATGTCGTGTCTGCACATTTGAGCATCCAGACAGGTACAAGCAGGATCCAGCCGAAATTTGCCGAAATTCTCCGAGAATTGTAAGTGACCCCACGCTACAGCGTCCCATGCTGTTTCTCAAGTCACGTGTTCAGCGTCACTTGTATGTTGCTGTTGTTGTTCAGCTCAGCACAG